CTTACCGCTGCCTCCCGTACCGTAGAGGTAAGAGAAGCGTTGGTAAGAAATGGGGTCCTTTACGGTTGGCATGGGCCTCATTGTGGGCATTACGACGCCCCAAGTATTTTCTCCGTGATATTCTACACGTTCTCTCCATGCTTTTATCTCCTCATCTTTAACGCGCCATTGACCACTTTCCGCCAACTCATCTTTGGTGTAGAATTCTTTCATCTTCTCTAACACTTCGGGCTTTACGTACAAGGAATCCGTAGCTACACGCGGGATGTCCTCTTTGTCAAACCGCAAGAGCATCGCAAGTAGGTTAACGTGCGCATATGCGAGCATGCTGGCACGCAGGTGGTAATACTGCGGTCGATGGTCCTGGTAGTAACACAAAGCATTCCATTTGTGTAGTTTATCATCTACAAGGTAATCCCACTTTTCCACGGATACCATCGTTCCTTCATCATGTGCACGCTTGATGAGGAAGCTTAGCTCACCTTCGTCTGTTATTAGGCGCCGCTGCATATGTTTTTCACCCTCCTTAGCGCCCTGCGTGAATTTAYCTATGACCACACGCGCTGTGGGGTTATGCTCCGGTAACCATTGCGTGAAGGCACTGTGACAAAGTATGGATTCATGCGCTGTGTATTTTAAAAGTTTGCGCTCTTCAAAGAACTTCAATAGGGGTATGGGTATCCATTCTTTCTCCTGCAGGTGCTTTCCGTACCACGCATAGATTATTGGATGTAAGTTTTTTGTAAATTTCCAGCTGGTTAACCGTACGAACCCCGTTGCTGGGGCGTCGTACGGTTGACCATCCAACGCAACACGAAAGAACTGCGAATCTGGATGTCCGTAACGGTCGTAATATTCCTTACAATCCCCTAGACCTTTAAAACTTGCGGGGTAACAATGTTTCATATCCAGAGACACGTATTCGTCTTCGTCGTACTCCATGTTCCAAAGACCACCGTGACCGTGTTCTACACAAGCTTTGAACTCCTCCGGCGTGGATTTCCACCCGTTTCTTTTCTTTGYGGCTAAGAAGTCCAAACTGCGGGAGCTAAGCACTTCGTCAGAGAAGTCCTCACCAAGGGATTCACAGGCGCTTTGAATGCGCAGGTGTTCCATTTCCGGTCGGTATAAAGTACCATCTTGGGTCATAAACTGACTTCCCTCCGCGTCCATTAACCATATGGAATTCTCATGAACTAATTCTGTCAATGGAGAATTCTTATAGACCTTCGTTTCCTTCTTTCTTGGGAACCTTAACTCCCTCCATGCGTGTGCGTTGTGCTGATAAATTACGATAGGAGCACCCCGGCCCCCATACTTGTGCGTTCCGGAGTAAATAAAACCGTCGGTGAT